CAAGCATTTCATCGCACCACAAAGGCTTAAAACTAGAATCCAACCTCAAGGAAAAAACTCAAAAGACATTCAAGCTCATGGAGACTGAATAGAACACTATTAAACAATGAATGGGTTAAAAATGAGATCAAAGGAGAAATCAAAAAGTTTCTGGAAACAAATGAAAATGAACACACAACAGTCAAAAACCTATGAGACACAGCAAAGGCAACCTGAGAAGGAAATTCAAGCAATACAGGCCTTCCTAAAAAAGATAGAAATGTTTCAAATAAACGACATAACCCTACATCTTCAATAATTGGAGAAACAACAAACAAATCCCCGAGTGAGTAGAAAGATGGAAATAATCAAGATCAGAACAGAACTGAATGAAATAGAGACTAAAAGAACAATTCAAAGGACCAACCAATCCAGGAGCTGATTCTTTGAAAAGATAAACAAAATCGACAAGACTCTATGCAGACTCATCAAGAAAAATAGGGAGAAGACCCAGAAAAATACATTCAGAAATGAAAGAGGAGAAATTACAACTGATATCACAGAAATACAAAGGATTGTAAGAAATTATTATGAAAAATTATATGCCAACAAATTTGAAAACCTCGATGAAATGGACAAATTTCTAGAAAAATATAACCTGCCAACACTGAATGAAGAAGAAGCAGAAAGCCTGAACAGCCCGTTGATAGCTGTTGAAATTGAAGCAGTAATCAAAAAACTCCCAACACACAAAAACCTTGCACCAAACAGTTTCACAGGAGAGTTTTACAAAACATTTAAGGAATAGTTTACCTCTGTCCTTTCCAGAAAATCTGAGAAGAGGGAAGACTCTCAAACTCTTTTTATGACGCTAGCATCATCCTTATCCCAAACCAAATAAAGACACCACAAGGAAAGAAAACTATAAGCCAATATCACTGATAAACATGGATGCTAAAATCATTAACACAGTATTGGCAAACCACATCCAGCAATACATTAAAAACATGATCAAGTGGGAACCACCTCGGGATGCAAGGATGGTTCAACATTCACAAATCAGTATGTGATACATCATATAAACAAATGGAAAGGCAAAAACCACATGATCATATCAATAGATGTGAAAAAAAGCACTTGATAAGATATAGCATCCATTTATGATAAAAAAACATACAGCAATGTGGGAATAAAGGGGGAGTACCTCAACATAATAAAGGCCATATATGAAAAACCTACAGCCAACATCATACTCAACATGCAAAAAGTGGAAGCTTTCCCACTAAGATCAGGAACAAGGCTGTCAATTTTCACCACTTCTATTCAACATAGTATTGGAAGCCCTATCTACAACGATTACACAAGAAAAAGAAATAAAAAGCATACAAATTGGATTGGAGGAAGTAAAACTGTCACTGTTTGCAGATGAAATGATAGTGTACATATAAAACCCCATAGACTCCACAAAAAAGCTACTTGACCTAATAAGTGAATTTGGCAAAACAGTGGGATACAAAGTCAATATACAGAAATTGAAGACATTTTTGTACATCAACAATGAATTATAAGATTCAGAAATCAGGAAATAAATCCCATTTGCTATAGCCACAAAAAAATAAAGTACCTAGGAATAAACTTAACCTAGGAGGTAAAAGACTTGTACTCAGAAAACCAACAACACTGAAGAAAGAAATTAAAGAAGACACAAATAAATGGAAGCATATACTGTGTTCACGAATTAACATCATTAAAATGTCTGTACTATCCAAAGCAATTTATAGATTCAAAGCAATCCCTATTAAAATATTAATGACATATTTCACAGACATATAATAAACATTTCAAAAATGTTTGTGGAACTGCAAATGACCCCAAATAGCTGCAGCAATTTTGAAGAACAACAAAGTAGGAGGGGTCACTGTATCTGACATCAAAGTGTATTACAAGACCACTGTAATCAAAACAGTCTGGTACTGGCATAAGAATGGACACATAGATCAATGGAACAGAATAGAGAGCCTGGAAATAATCCCATGGCAATTAATATTCAACAAAGGGGGCAGAAGCATAAAATGGAGTCAAAATAGACTCTTCAACAAATGGTGTTGGGAGAGCTGGACAGCTACATACAAAAAAAAATGAAATTTGACCCCCAACTTACACTATACACAAAAATAAACACAAGATGGACAGAACACTTAAATATAAATCACAACACCATAAAAGTCCTAGAGGAGAACATAGGCAGGAAATTCTCAGATATCCTGTGCAGCAATATTTTCACTGATATATCCCCTAAAGGAAATAATTAAAAAATGAGACTTTATCAAAATAAGAAGCTTCTGCATGGCTAAAGAAAAAAATCAGCAAAATGAAAAGGGAACCAACCATATGGGAAAATTTATTAGCCAATGATACTTTGGACAGGGATTTGATCTCCAAACTATGTAAAGAGCTTACACAACTCCACTCCGGGAAGATGAACATCCAATTAAAAAATGGGCAAAGGACCCAAACAGACACTCCTCCAATGAGGACATATACACAGGGCCCAGAGACATATGAAAGGATGTGCAGCATCACTAGCCATCAGAGAAATGCAAATTAAAACCACAATGATATATCACTTCACACTTGTCAGAAAGGCCATCATAAACAAATCAACAACAAGTACAGGCAAGGTTGTGGGGAAAGGGAACCCTAGTACAGTGATGATGGGAATGCAGACTGGCGCAGCCACTGTGGAAAACATTTTGGAATTTCTTCAAAAAGCTAAAAGTGGAACTGCCTTTTGACCCAGCAATTCCACTGCTGGGATTATACTCTAGGAATCCCAAAACACCCATTCAAAACAACCTATGCACCCCAATGTTCATAGCATCACAGTTTACAATAGTCAAGTGCTTGAAGCAACCTAAGTGCCCATCAGTAAGTGAGTGAATCAAAAAAGTATGGCACATTTACACAATGGAATACTATGCAGCAGAAAGAAAGGCAGGGAGAGAGGGAGGGAGAGAGGGAGGAAAGAAAGCAAGGAAGGAAGAGAGAAAGAGAGAAAAGAAAGGAGAAAGAAAGAAAGAAAGAAAGAAAGAAAGAAAGAAAGAAAGAAAGAAAGAAAGAAAGAAAGAAAGAAAGAAAGAAAGAAAGAAAGAAAGAAAGAAAGAAAGAAAGAAAGAAAGAAAGAAAGAAAGAAAGAAAGAAAGAAAGAAAGAAAGAAAAGAAAGAAAGAAAAGAAAAGAAAAGAAAAGAAAAGAAAAGAAAAAAGAAAGAAAGGAAGAAAGAAAAGAAGGAAAGAGAAAGAAAGGAAGGAAGGGAGAGAAAGAGAGAGATGGAGGGAAGAAGGGGAAGGAAAGGAAAGGAAAGGAAAGGAAAGGAAAGGAAAGGAAAGGAAAGGAAAGGAAAGGAAAGGAAAGGAAAGGAAAGGAAAGGAAAGGAAAGGAAAGGAAAGGAAAGGAAAGGAAAGGAAAAGAAAAAGGCAGGCAGGAAGGAAAGAAATAGGAAAGGAAGGGAGGAAGGAAGAGAGAAAAAGAAAGCACTATTAACCTTTGCAATAGCATGGTTGGAACTGGAGAGCATTTGGCTGAGTGAAATGAGCCAGGGGGTGAAAGACAAATACCATATGATCTTACTTATAAGTGGAACCTAATCAACAAAACAGACAAGCAAGGATAATATAACCAGCACCACTGAAAGAAAAAAGAAACCAACAGAAACGAAAGGGAAGGAGGGAGGTGGGTAACCAGGAAAAGAAGGGGAAGGTTCAAATCAAGGAACACGTATAAAGGACTCATGGACAATGCCAAAGTGGGGAAGGATTGATGGTTGGAGTTGGGAGTGGGGGTGGGGCATGGGAATGTGGTGGCGGATAAATGGAGACAAATGTATTTTAACAATAAAATATATATGCATATATATGAAAATGTCCTAAAAGGAGGGTTTCTCTTTTTCATTTTTATATGTTTTGTTTTATATTTTTACTATTTTATATTTTGAAAGTCAAATCTACCATGGTATTTATACTATTTCTAGGAAGATAAGGCTTAGACTCAGCTTAAAATAGTAATCTCTTTATTTCAGTAACTATTTTGTGAATGAGGGTTTTTTCTCTCTTTAGCTTTGGGAACTAGAGACTAGAATGTATTTCAACTGCCTGTATCATAGAGGCAGGTAGTGTGCTGGTTGCAAGGACAGTCACTGAAGCCAGAAGCCCAGCCCTCCATCTCCACTTATATGTCAGTGACCACAAATTAAATAACATCTCCACACCTCTGTTGCTTCATCTGTGAAGAGTGAATCATGGTAGTGTGCCAAAAGATTGTCACAAATACACAATGAATAAGAATGGTACCTGAGAAAGAACAGTTCTGAGTGATTGACTGCTATGACCCTCCCAGGATTTCAGCAGGATCCCAGGGAAAGAGGTCCTGATGAGTATCCACTCTGTTGTGTGGTCATCTTGTGATCCTGGGGGATCTGAGGCCTATGCAAAAAGAAGTGTGCTGGTCAGGCTCTGACATATCCCTCAGTGTGGAATTAATAATCCTCCATCCCTGGGAGCACAGGGGAAACATTTCATCCCACCTCCACCCCAAAATGTATGGAGTGATGTAAATGTATGGAGTGTTTACACTGAACACCTTTAGGATGGCCTGACAGAGTTGAAGCAGTGTGGGGTTTCAGGTTTGAAAGCAATTTTATCTCTCTGACCTCAACTTATTAAAAGCTAAGTGGGGAAAAATATGATCATTACATTGCAAATGTGTTGTGATGGTCACATAAGATGTAATACCGCAGGCATCTTTCCTGGCATATGATGATTTCCTCTTTGAGTCTGAGCCACATCATTTATGTTAGGAGTAATCTCCATAGTTACAAAAATAACACATGACTCAAGTTCTGTGGGGAGGGAGGCTCAGGCTGGGCACCCAGCTGTGCAGCCTCTGTGGTCGCCCATATTGAGAAGGATGTGTGTGGGCACAGACTGAAGATGGTTCTTGTGCAGGTATCTTGGCAACTCTAACGTTGTGGGCATCAGTCCAGCAGGCACAGAAGTACACGGCCTCATCTTGTTTCTCTAAGGAATTTATTTTCAAGGTGGAAGTGGAAGAGCGAATATTTTTATTTGCCTCAAATTTCTTGTTCCTCTGACTAACAGGTATTGTGGAGTCAACGTACATTAAATGTTCTATACCCTGATCTGGTTTCTGCTGGTACCAGTGTATGTAGTCTGTGCTAAAGGTGCTAGAAGACACCTTACAATATATATAGGCACTCTTATCTCTTGCCTTGGAAATTGATATTTCAGGTTGCTCCAACTTTAACTGTCCAAGGCCACCTTCAAACAAAAAAATAAATAAATAAATCTCATGGACAAATGACATGTAAAGGTGTAATAATAAAGAATTTCTTTGGTCTCTGTCTAGAAAATGACAGGGAACTCACAAGCCCAGAAGGAGAAGAAGAGGACGGCTTCCAGTAGCGACATCCTGCACACCAGGCTGGCTCCCCAGGGAGAAGGTAAGAAAGTGAGGTCCCTGTTAGCAGACCAGTGTCAGGAGGGCGGGGCTGGGTCTGGTTTCTTGGAGGAAGTCGTGGCTCAGACAGTTCCTAGGGGTTCTTCATGGTCTGCTATAAACAGGAGCAGTTCTGGGGCTTCCTCAGCTCCATGGGTGCTGGGAAGAAGGGGTAAGAGTGTTTGTGATCTGGGAAGAAAATCCTGGGATAAATGTGTCCATCTTGGGCTGGGACAGAGACAGTTTTCAAACCCACTCAGCTATTCCCTGGGAAATACCAGGCCATAGAAATATTTCATCAGAAATGTGAAGACATACCTGCTTGTTCAGCCCCTGTATGTATCTTTCTGTGGATTCGGGACTTGGGTATGAAAACTGACCTTTATTTTTTGTAACACGACAAAACAAAATCAGACATTGAAACACCTCATTGACATTATTGAAGATGCTTTATGCACATGGACTAGAGAAATTCTGTTTTTTGGTTTTTTTAATTAATCTATATGTCACCACAGAGACTATGACTCAGGGCAACCACACTTCATTTACCATCTGGGTGCCTTTTAGAAGGGGCTGGACTGCAGTTGCTGGCAGGTAGAGGAAACAGAGCAATCTGGGAGACTCAGCTTCCCATTCTGGACCTTGGAACTGTCTCATGAACAATATGCCACATGCAGGAGTATTTTCAAAGCCATGTTATATTTAATGTGTAATAATAAGCTTTCAAATTAATATAGCATCTAATATCCATTGAGAAATTGTTATATGTAAGACAATATTCTAAATGTTTACTTATTTTAATCCTGTCTAGAACACTCTTATGAGATAGTTCTTACTATGACCTCTAACTGGTAATGATATACAGTGGCAAAGAGAAGTGATTCATTCAAATACCCATACCTAGGAAATATGAGAACTCAGATAAGTAGCAGTTCATTAAAGAAAGTTAGAGTAAAATGAAGTATAAAAAATAACAGGAAAAGGTACCAACACTTTTCTGTTACTTTGCATTTTTCTCTACATATTTATGAATAGAAATTGGATTTCTTGGCATTATATATAAACAAACATTTTTAAGTGGGACTTGAATATTTGGCTTGATATGCTCTTCTTTTGGTTAACGTATTATAGTGAGAAACTCTGAAGTCTTTAAATAATCTATTTGTGTTATTTAGTAACCAAAGTTATAATTCAACACCTTCCTATACCACTTAAGCCTATCTGAAATTTGTGTTACTTAAGCTTCTTGTGCCTCACTTTCCTTATATACAAGTTGCCTACATATCTGTCTTTCAAGGTATTGAGAGGCTTACATGATCACATTGCACAAAACACTCAAATATTAGTACCTGGCACATCATGAGTCTTCAATGACATTATGAAGTGTTATTATTCATATTGTCATCAAACAAGACAAAATTACCTTGCTAAATACATTTACAATGCAACAAAAGTAGTGCATTTAGAAAAATATGTAAATTAATCAAAGCACATAGGAGAAATGAAGCCATCTATTTCCTCAGGAATAATCATTCTTTACGTTTTAGACAATTCATTTACTCCTTTTATTATTCCTCTATCAATACAATTTTACTGTCGTAAAATGTTTGTAAAATTGTTTACAAACAATTTTATTGTCTAAAAGTTATTATATACTCATGGATTTTCTTTCTATTATATTGCAAATATTTTTAAATTTTAGTCACAAATCCATAAAATACTTTTTTCAAAGGCTGCATGATAGTCTATTCTTTGAATGCAATGTAAATCAGCTGTCTCTTTCCCTGTAAATTTCCATTTAGTCTGACATATAAAGAGCTGCTGGAGAGTTTTCTCTTAAGATCTGAACACAGGAGAGTGTTGCACAGTGAACACCTCAGTACTGCTCCCTGAGACTCTTTTGAGGACTGAGTGAACAACCATGTAAGAAGACAGCAGTGATCTGTCAAGAAGCTTGTCTGTGCATTCCTGTCTGAAAAGAGCCTATATCCTCAGTTTCTTTGGGATTCTTTGAGGTCTTTCTCTACCCTTGTTTTTATTAAAAGTTTAGATAATCTCTAAGATCCTATATAGGTTCAAGAAATCAACTGTGGTCCACGCTGAGAGAATAAAATGGTCAGCAATTATACAAAGAGAATGTAATCAGAAAAGGTTGAGTGAGTCAGAGGTAGGAGGAGAAAGGCTGACATGTGGATCTATGTCACCTTTTTCTATGAGTCTCCTTTCTTTCTTCCAATGGCTTCCCTGAATCGAGAACTAGAACCAGGGCCCTTAGAAGAGGAGATGAGGGGGATGGATATGTTGTCATAATGTTAGAAATTATCAAATAAGTAGAGGAGTGTGTATGGCACAGATGCAAGGTGATATCCATATTTTTCCATGTGGTGCCAGCATGTACTGCATAAGAAGAGTGTGTGAATTAAAGGGTAGTTATTTGGAAACAAATTGATAAATTATTGACATTTTACATATGTTGCAAAGGCTTCTGATCACTCAAATCCTTGTCGCATGTTTCAGTACAAAATAGCAAGTTGTGTCAGGGAATATTTGACAAAAGTTAACTTTCTTTTCTCCATAGGTGTTGGAAAAATGTGTAGCATTTCTTTATGTCCTCTTATGGTCTAGAGGTCAGGCTCTGGGTCTAGATACATGGGTTCAACCCTACTTTGCATTGTATCACTTGTGCAACTGGGACAAGTTCTTGGGATACATAATATATCACTTACCTCATGAGTCAGATGCGTTCATAGTCATAAGAGAAGAGACCTCATAGGTTACTGTGAGGGTTGAAGAAGTCCATATGGGCAAAGAATTGAGAACACTAATAGATATCTCTCTCAAACAAGAAATTGTTAGCTGCTTCTTCTCTTGGCCCATTCACACTCTTCTTCTGTACTAATGACCCCAGGAGATCAGACCTGTATTCTGAGGACATCATGTTCTCACAGCCCTGAATGTGAAGTGAGGACCTATCTTCCTCCTCCTCCAGATAAAAGATACTGGTCCATCTCAAATTTACTTCAAGTAATTTGTTTGTTATAGAATTGCGACGTTTACATTTTCAGGGTAGCCTCATGGTGTAATTCAAAACATATGGACTTCTTGTCTTTTTACCAATCATTTCAACTCTCAGAGTTTTAATTTTTTATCTGTAAAATGAACAAGCAATTGTTATGATGCTACAGGTTTGTGATAATTAACAGTGACAATGTACTTGATCTTGGAGTGGTGGTACACAATACTTCTCTCCCTCAGCCTGAGCCATTCCTGTTAGTGGAAGTGTCTGCACGGCGATATGATTAATGGGGCCTGTGTCTACTCATTCCCAGGCAAGACTTAATTCATTGGGAAGTGGTGTCAAATGAAGATTTGGGAACACCGTGGTCAGAAATGCTTCCTGCTCAAGGTGGGGCCTAATGTGTGAGCAAACATGTTGGCTTTTCTCAGGGCACTTTGGCACCGCAGTGCTGTGGGCCCCACCAGCACGCGAGTCACTGACCACATGTTTTTCTATGAAGTGTATGGTAAGGACTGATGTAGACTTTGGAAAACTTTTTTTGCCTCAAATTTGCTCTTTTTCTCACCTAAGTGAACTGGAGCTGGAACGTCTATTGAGATGATAGACATCAGGTGTGCTGTAATTTGGTGCAGTGTCTACTGATAGCAGTGTATAACTGTATTTTCAAAGTCTTCAGTGGACATTATGCAAAATATGAACACTCTCACTTTTGCTCTGGGAACTGACCTCTTAGGTGGCTCCAACTGTAACTGCCCATGTCCCACTGTAAGCAGAAAATGGAAATTCCCATGAACATCTGACATGAAAACAAGAAACAATAAAAAATCTCTTTTATCTCTCATCCATGTTCAGATAAATTGAAGAGCAACTCACAAGCCACAAGGGAGAAAAATATGAATGTTCTGAGCAGTGACATCCCACTCTCTGCCAGACTGTGTCACCAGGGAGAAGGCAGGAAAGTGAGGACTCTGGTTGGAGTGTCCAGGGTGGGGGGAGGGGGTGTGAGAGGAGGAAGCAGTGGGGCAGGTGGCCCCATGGGGCCTGCGTGGCCTGATGCAGCCCGAGCCGTGTCAGGGTTCTGATGACTCAGTCATGCTGAACTGACCAGGAATATGGCTCACAACCTGGACAGGAAAGTGTCTGCAGGCTGGGGAGAGGCAGGTCTGGAGGTGACTTATTTCAGCTTTAAACTTACCTGTTCCCTCCTTTATATTCATGCTATAGAAACATTGTTTCAGAGATGTGAGGGTGTAGTTTTTGTGTCATAAAGGTAAAACTGGTAATTTTGTTAATTTGTTTGGCTTCAGTGCTCAGGAATATGAAACATGGAGAGTATTTTACAATTTTTTAATCTCACCCACAGATATGTTCATTTATTTTTAGAGTGAGAGGCAAAGAGAGATAGAGAAAGAAAGAGAGAGAGAGATGGAAACATCGATGTGAGAGAGAAACATCAACTGGTTGCCTTCCATAGGCGTCCCAACAGGGACCAAGCCCTCAGTTAGATTTATGCCCAGACAGGGAATCAAACCTGCAACCTTTTGGCATATGGGTCAACTCTCCAAACAACTGCACCACCCAGCTAGCACCAGTATTTTACAATTGTTTAAAAAGACAAAGTTTCAACCTGACATTGTTCACCCTCATATTACAAGTCATAGGCATTTTGATTTGAAATTCAATGGAGCATTTTATTTTATAATTAATCGGGATGTCACCATACAGATCACAATTCAGAAAAATGAAATTTCACTTATAACCTGGTGCCTTCAAGAGGAGACAGAACTAAATTTGCTAGAAGGAATAACAGACAGAGTAATCTGTGAGAATGGGATTGGCCTCCACTTACCCCGGACCTTGGGACTGTCTCATAACACTATGTCACAGAGAGGGATATTTAAATTAATGTACTTTTTAAAAATCCTCACCCAAGGATATATTTATAGATTTTAG